CGAGTGTGGAGAGGTTAGTTTATATACTTATTTATATTTAAAATGTCTAAATCAAACTAACGTTAAAATACAACTATTAACTAAGAACTCGAGTTAACCTATTAACAGATATACCTTATTTGTTTCCGTGTAATTAATCTCCATTTTCAATTTTTCCACATAAATATATTATACCTTATATAACAAACAAAGCAAGTATGCTTTTTCCTGAAACTACATGGCATTGACTATATACCTACAGATATAGGTACTATATACTACTATATACTATATACCTATAGGTATATATAGTCAATGCTACATGGTTTAAAAGCTACCTAGTCAGCTGTGAAAAAAACATGGACATATGATAATGTAGTCACAGATGTTCTGCATTCTGCTCTACTGTCTGTTAGCAGAAAGAAATAGAAAATAAAAACAAAAACAAGCGGAGTCGATTTTGTTACAATTTCCACTCTTCATCCTTCCTTCCCTGAATTATGAATTCCCTTATGAAGGAAGGAAACTGCGGGTAACTTGTCTTGTCTTCGGCATGTTTACATACACGTTCAGGTTTTTAACATCCATTAAACTGCAGTTTTGAATCTTGGTTTAATTTAATTTAATAGTAATCTGACCTGACCATAGGCCTACACCACTAACTTATGTGAACACAAGCAATAACTCTTAGTCTTGACCAAATCAAACTAAATATACTTGTTCACTGTTCAGCGGTTCAGAAGTAGGCCCTAGGTCTGATAGAGGTATAGATCATTTGATAAGGAAAGGAATAAAGGTACGTAGCTTTTACATCTAAGCCATTATAACCCCTATAAACCGCAATTATGATAGCATGATGGGGATTCCGAAACTTAATAAAGTGCAGCTTGCCTGCATGGATACCTGTGCTTATTAAGGAAGCTTTTTACTTTGTACCACCTTGGCTTTAGACCTAAGACTTTAAGAGTAGGTAGAGCATAAGTTATTCGTGCACCTTGAGAGGAGATGAGTTCTTAACGGGGGTACACTTCCATCTGTTGGCACAAACAACGGAATGGGTAATATTGATTAGGTATCCCATCGTTTGGTTAGGTTAACCTTACCGATCGATAGTTTCATTCAGTTGTTTGTGCCAACAGAACAGTTGTAAGTGATTTATATTTCGCCACTTAGAAATTAAATTTAATAAAATTGTGCTGTTCTAAAATAACCTAACCAAACCAAACCTCTGTAATGTTAGCAGACTCCTTTTGATGTCAGAAATACTTAATACTTTTTAACCCTCTGAGTGTTATGTGTCGTAAAAGCGACTCATAACACATCCGCTGTAGTGTTATGTGTTGCTTTTGCGACTCACAAACACTGTTTACAGCGACGGCTCTGGGACTGACTGGATCGAGTTAGGTAGGCCTATCGTTTTTTTAGCAGATTCAGAGCTTTCTCCTGATGTCTGTTTCTATACGCTTTTCATTTTAGTTCCGATAATATTGTAGCAGACAGCTGACGTGCGTATTTGTAAACAGCTTGGTTAACCTCACACCGATGACTGGATAAGTTATGTTTTATTACGTCATTGATTTAGTGTTAAAAATCAAAAGTAGTGATATACGTGGGCGGTGGTGCATTATAAGAAGATTTAAGTGATTTTGAAGGGCTGGTTGATGATCCTGAAGAAGTAGGTAGTGATATTGATGTAAATTAAGTTATCAGCCAGATTCCCAGCTATGGTTAGGCTAGGCATTCTTAGCTAAACGCTATGTACCGAAATCTGTTTTTTGCCTATAACTTATTTATTTGCAAACCTACTTCCTTATATTATTATATTTTTGGAATCCTCATAAAATTCTGAACAAAGTGGCTATTTTAAAATATTTGTAGACCTATAAATTATAACAATTTATTGAGCGAAAACAAAAACTTTTTTCATTTAAAATATTTTATAATTTTTCAGAAATGTTGACCCCACAAAAATTGTTTTTTTTTGTAATGTTTTATATGTTACATTGAAGCCCATAATTTTCCAAACAAAATGATATATAAAACAGTAGGTACATACTTTACATTGTTTTTAAGTTTCTAAAGATACATTTTAATAAAACCCTGCGATCGCGCAATAAATTGGCGAACATTAAGACCAAAAATAGAGACACTTGGAGGGTTAAGGCATTTTCAATGAAATAGCGACCATACAAAGTAGGTATTTTAAGCCAAGTATTAATGGTGATAAGTGGCGCGATCTTGTAGTCTTGTTAGTGCTAAGACGACATAAGTTATTCCATAGACACAGCTGTTTATAAAGTTAATAGCCCAAACAACTAGGCATGTCTGGGTGGTTGGCTGTGCTTTATGCTTTATGCGAATAAACAATTTTTGTTTATTGTTTAACATTTTAACATGCATTAATTTTGCCGTGGTAGGCTAGCGGCTGACCAGTTTTGGTGTTTGCGGTGATGCGGGACTTACCACTTGTTGGTGGTTTGACATATTTTAACTTCTGGCACTCGCCTCGCCTTTGCTTGTCTCCTTTGACTCGTCCCAAAAACCACCAAAAATTGGAACACAGGCAAGCACAAATCATGGCGAGGCGAACTATCCCGAGTGTAATCGAACAGACTGGGGACACTATCGTGCTCGCCATAGCTCACCTATATTCGGTGATAGTGTACTTCTACCAGACATGACAATCAAAGACTCAGCAAGTATCATCTCAATTAAATGTGTTTCAGCGACAAAAGTTCCATTTTCTGACATATAATCAAGACATTTGCTGCTAAATATCAAGTAAAAATCAGTAAATATAATTAATTTTTTATACTTATTGAGGAACTTTAGGTATTAAGGGCTGTATCATAGATTAAGTATTCTCACTAAGGGAGTAGTCTATGCTTAATCTATGGCTTTATGTTCACGGTAATTTAATAACCATATATTAAAGAATTTGTTTTATTTGTTCTTATACAAATTCTACTTACAGGTTTGAGAACTAATAATAATATACCAATTTTAACGTCATATAAAGTTATCACTAAACCTTTGGGCCATTTTCTAAAAAAAAGATGGGGGCCTCGTGATGAGACTAACAGTAAAATGCCATTGGCACTTGGAAAATTCCACAGTTGCAAGGTGAAAGGGTGGCAAATTTAGAGCTTGCCCCCCCCCCCCCCCTAGAAAACTGTGTAGCTGTAGCCCTGAATGCAAAAGCACAATCCGAATATCTAGCGGTAGAATTTCTCCAAGGATTATATCCAACTGAAGGCTTACAGCAGGCTTATTTTGGTTTCAAAACAAAAGATCTAACTACCTAAAGAGTTATTACAACTATTATTAATTAAAGAATCTACAAACTGCAACGATTATGTTCTCAAACAATTTCTAACTTTTATTTTCAGGTCTGAAAATGGAAACACTGCCTGTTGAAATGGTAGTAGAAATCACGAGCTTCTTGACAGCAAAGGACCTTGCTAGTTGTATCTCAGTGTCTCATAGTTGGAGAGAGATATTCAATCACGAACTTCTGTGGAAGCCACTTTGCGATCTGCGGCTAGAACAGCAACTCAGCAACATTCCGTGTGTTGTCGAGCCTGCTTTTCTCATTTCTGAGGAGTCTACCTTAGCTCCAATTGGTCAATCGAGGTTAGCTTTCATAAAGGAGAAGCATCTTTGGAAAAATTGGAGGAAGAATAAAATTGTAAAGGAAAAAATTTCCATACCAACTCCCAAATCGTCTGAAGTTTGTAGGAAGGTGAGATCTATATTTGTGAAGGATGTGTCTGGATCGAATTTACAAAAAGACAAAGTTAGAAGGGTCCGTGCATGCTGGTTCTTAACGGATATTCTTCTTGTTGGTTGGTATTCAAATAGCATAAGGATTTGGGATGTCAGTTCAATTCCAGCGGTGTATCTCATGAAAACCGATTCATCTGTTGATGTAAAAATGTGGGAATCTATTGATTTGGTGGGGAATGACACATTGATAGTCAAACAAAAATCATCTGTTGAAGTTTTTCATGTGGACTTAACTAACAAATGTATAAAATTAAAAAATATAATATTACTTAAGGAACCTTCCAAATTGATTGTGAAACAGCACAATGCTAATGGTCTAAGCATTCATATTGGTGTAACTGTATGTGGGTTTGAGAGAAAATTAAAGGTGTTTGATTTGATGACCGGGAAGGAACTGAAAGAAGATAACGGCCCTGTGGGAAATGAAACCGCAAGAATTGAGGCAATATTAACTTCAACGCTAAGTGATGATATACTTGTCTTATTTCGAAATAATGAAACCAAAACCGCTTATGTTTATAGTTCTGAAAAACTATGTTACATATCGGGCCCATTTCTGCGAGGAAATATTGATCAATGTGCAATCAACAGACATTACATTGCACTTGCTGATTCACTTGGTGGATTGAAAATTATTGACTATTTAACATCAAATGTTGTTTTCTCAAAGAGTGAAGAGAATAAAAGCGGGTATAATGAAATATTACCCTTGTTGGCTTATAAAAGTGGCTTTGTCTTTTTGAAACACAGAAATTGGAACTATACATTAGAGTTAGTTTCGCTAAAAAACCTAACCACGACTATTGTTTGCGAACAGTCACGTCTACCACATTATAATCATTGTTGGTTAGATATTGTCAACGACAGATTTGTGGTTGTGTTTGAAACAATTACTCACTTAGTTAGGTCAGAAAAAACAGTGTATGAACCTTCAGCCAATACACTTCAAGAAATAGTTTTGTTTGGTCCAATACTAGATGAAAAGTTCAATAAGTCGTTTACTAAGAGCTTCAGTCACAATGATGAAGGAAATCTGGTAATTTCACATTACTGGTGATGTAAACTAAATTTCTAACCTATGCCTTAATGTCAGGTAGGTTAGGATTTAGTATCTAAATGCAGCGGGAAAGAAATAATTTGAGAATTACAGAACCATATACACTGTAGAACTCATGACTGGTAACTATATAGGCTGCGTAATGTAGGTGGTTATGGATATTAAATAACACAATTGTTATTAAATAACAACATATATTTTCAAAGATAAATTGTGTTCTACATTACAACTGTAAATAGTTTATCCATTTTTCCCCCTAGAATAAGTTCTTCATTAACAGTAGAGTAATTTATATTATTAATTTCGGTGGTACCATTGCCTTTGATTGCTCATATAAATTTTCCCATCTGTTTTGACCAGCTATAGCCAGTTTATTATTCTAAGGGGAACATAGTGGCCTGCCTCTGCCATACAGTGTGCTACGGAAGTGGCTTGGTTATTAAGTTCTTAACAACTTAGGCTACTATCTATTACAATTGTGTTGGATTTTAATAATGATTTTATTAATAGTGGATGGGTGTGAATTAACAAAGATCTAACAGTGTTTTCAAAACACCTTTAAAATCCCTAACCTTACTTTTACCATAGATAAAACATACTCCCTTAGTAGATTTCTCATCCTAATGGAACAGCTGAAGACAATTTTTTTGTTAGTTCTGTACGGCTTATGTAGAGGTCGTGTTTTGTTTACAATTTGTTTTCCGTTAATACAGTCATTTAAAACCTCGTTTAACCAAATAATACGATCTAACCATAAACAATAAATTGTCCCCTAGTTATTTAACCAAACATTAAAGCACAAATCGAGAAATTAACCCTAAAATAATAGAAACAACATTTCTATTATTTTACGCCCAGTGTGGCGTACATGAACTAGACATGAAAAACGAGCTTCAAAATTTACAATGGGATGAGAAGTCTACTTGTGTTGGTTAGTCTATGCTTTTACCCAGTAAAATAACAGATGCCCCAGATTGTTTCAGTTAAATGGCCTACAAAAACAGGTACTTGTCAGGAATTCATGTGATCTAATATGGAATTACAAACTCACTAAGAGAGTAAGAATCTCAGTACAAAGCATAAAGGTGGGATGAAACATAACAATATTTTTACATGTTTGCATTTCAATCGACAACTTTTAAGTACCGTACCTAAAAGCTTACTATGCAATATTTGTTGAAATGTCTGGTGTTTGTAAGACCACTTCTTCCTTTTATTACGCAATATAACAATAATAAATAATATAATTCTCAATAGTAAAAAAGGGATATTGCCACCTTTCAATATGTTAAATTCAGTAAGTTGGCTGTCGTCTCTGAGAGCTTTAGTGAATATCCATTATCCCTAAGAGATTTGACACAATGTTGCCAAATTTATACAGAATACAGGTGCCACAAACAATGCTATGGAAGTGTTTAAGGGTTCTATCTACTCAGAAAATAAAAAATTAATCCAAATAGTTTGAACGGTTTAAACCTAAGAGCTATACAAAGATATAAAATAATTTAAATAATTACAACATTTGTTATGTCAACAGAGCAGATCCAAAGAATCAACTGATATTACTTTTCTTACTTTTGAGTTCATTATAATACAGGAAGATTTAATCAATATCTAGCTTTTTGAATGATCCTTGAATGCTGCAGATGTCTTGCGATCTTCCTTGACGTTTTGATTCGTCAGTTCTCATCTTTTCTTCTTGTCTGAACCAGTCAGACTTTGCTCTTATTCGGTCCGTTGTTTCTCCTGTCAAAACCATTGACAAATTAATAATAAAACCCTGTTTAATTTGTTTAAATATAGGATATTTTACCATAGATATTATATTAGTTCATCGATGCTATAACAAGGAATGATTAGAAGACCATGTATTAAAAGTAAGTGAAATTGTCGAACTTTATAAAATATAATTTTGTCCTGCTTAGCTCATTCTTGGGTAAGACGATCCAGAATAGATAAACTATGACGAATCCCCAATAAATGATAATAGTGATAATAAATACTGGTGCGGGTAGGCTTGTCCTTGCAAAATTGTTGTAAACTGTATAAATTGTCCTAATAAATAACATTGTCTAAAAACTTTTATGTTTCAATAATATATTTCCTTTTGCAAACAGGTATTTAAATTAGTTTACTACTATCCACAGTTATTTTAAAACAAGAACCACCTCTTATATTAATTTCCTTATGCATAAACAAAATTTACTATAATATTTGTATTTAATTTATTTTACGCCACACTACAATGTTTTAACGAACTTCCCACGCAAGGATTTAGTCCAGAAAACAGCTGTTTGCCGCCGCTTAATCAAATGGAGTTTCATTTATGTACTAGTGTACTGTAATGAGCTTTTACCGGACACCGCAACCAGCTGATTAAAATTGGCAATTAGTGTTATAAACAAAAACGAGGTTATGAGTAGTGATTATTAGTCCTTTAGTCGGTGGTATATGGATTTGTGCAGAATTTTTATTGTTAAGTCAACTTAGAGTAGTGGCGTAAAATATCGTACGTCACTCATCCAAAATGTGTTAACCGGGCTATGGTAATCCCTCACTCTACTTCGTCTCGCACGGGAACGACCACAGTCGTATGGTAAACACGACCACACTCGTCCGGTAAACACGACCACACTCGTCCGGTAAACACGGCCACACTCGTCCGGTAAACACGACCACACTCGTTCGGTAAACACGACCACACTCGTTCGGTAAACACGACCACACTCGTTCGGTAAACACGACCACACTCGTCCAGTAAACACGACCACACTCGTCCGGTAAACACATATTTTCAGGACTAGTAACATTTTATACTATAATGGGTCCGCAGCTGGTTTTTACTTGTAATAGAAAAAATTTGCAAGACCATTATCTATTGTTGAAATGTGTGACAAATCTAGGACCAAATCCCATCTGATTTGTATTGCAGAAACACAACTAATGTTGGGTACCAGCTTACTTGTCAATGTCTCCATGGAAGCTTCTTCTCCTTGGTAATCTTTAGGTAGGATTTCCTTTGGAACATGTTCATAAAGTTGCTCAGTTTGTTCAGGACTGTGAAGGTGAATCTGATAAACATAAATAAAACTCATCACAAAAGTGTTATATTTTACAGAAGTGCTTGATTATAAGGAGATGGGCGAGTTTTGAATCTCCCATTTTCCTCCTTCATTCTTTCTCTTCGCTCTTTCAACTTTTTATTGACTCACAAACTGTATTATGTTGATAATACTAGGTAATTACTTAATATTTTTGTTTCAATTACAGTTTGATTTAAGAAATCAAAACTAGCAGCCAGCGTCACTTCAAAATCTTTAAGAACTTCATACTTCATTCATTAGTTCAAGTTCAAAAAGAGGGAGATTTACCTGTACTGAATTTTCAATGGCTAAGTGTAGTTGATAAGGGTGGGAACGATTATTTCTCATCATATCCCTATTATTTGCATTGTGTGCCCTATTATTTTCATTGCATGCCCAATCTCTTCCAGGCATCTTAAAATGCCAATGAAACATACTATGAAAACTCAACATCTAACTTAAGTCATTTTCTTCTTTAGATTATAAACAAATAACATTACAATATTTTACTTTAATTCACTACAACATCAATAAAAAACATTCAGTCCAGAGGAGTCAGGATAAGAGGGAGTATTTTGGAATGTATGAAAATTTATATTTTAGAGCCCAAGGGGGGCTTTAGCCCCTCCCCTTAGAATCACAACTGAGTACCGTAATAGCAGGATGACTACTTCACAAATGATATAATTAAGTTTATGCAGTTCCTACTGAAATAAACCAGAGCTAGATAACAGAACCCTGAGGGACCCACTAAGGAGAAAAGTAATGTTTTACTTTTATAACTGTTCCAAACTTGGCCCAGAGCGGTCCTGTCCTGGCTGAGAGAGCTGATATTAGTCTGTAAAGCTACACCAGGAATCTTATACAACCCAAAGATTCATCCATATATTTGAGTTTAAATCCACCTACTATCATTCCGTCTCATTGTTGTTTAAACACACTATATGGTAATACTTACAAACTGTAAATGTTGTTTGTGAATGAATGGTTTAATGATGTTCATGATGTGTGTCATCACTGGATTTACATTGATGATGTGTATCGACTTGAGCCTTACTGGCATAGCCTCCTGTGAACAGAGAAAGAAGAACCATCATATTTTATTCATCTGTTTGTGTCCCAATGTAGTATTTGTTTACAAACTATTACGGACCATTGCTAAGACTACATTATTCTTAGTGAATTTATAAATTTTGTACAGTATTATAGACAAAAAGAATTAAAGACCGATATCCGTGCTACACCAAAGTAACTGCACAGCGCTCCCAGCGGTGGACGCCAGAACATATGCTAACCGCAGCACAGCTGTCGTTCTATATTTAGTTTTTTTTCGTCTATGGTATTAATTTCTTTCAAAATCTGTCTAATTTGCATTCCAAATCCTTCCCAATCCTCACTTGGAACCAACCTGAACGTATATGAAGTACTTCCGCACTGATGTGAGGTTTATCCTGGTCAAATGACCGAGGGAGACTCCCTGCATATCAAACAGGAAGATCATCCCTGCAGACATTCCATGGTCTTTCAGGTGAGAGTCAATCGTGGTGAAGAGGAGTTTGATGGCGTCGTCCAAATTGAACTGCGAGGGCTCTGTTATGCTGAGGCGACCGAAGAGTACGTGGTAACCTTTCAGAGTGGGTTTCGGCAGGATGCAGATACGGCTGTGAAAAATTGAATTTATCATAAACTGGTTAATAATTTCATAGTTGGTTGTGAATAATTAAGATGAAATATAAAAATTCCAGTATGATGGAATAAGCAGATATTATTTCTGAAACTGCTGGTGATGGTCATTCTTTCTTTAATTTTGATTCTATTTTTTATGTTTTGGTTATGTTTCTTTTTGTTTTGAGTTGTGATAAAGATAGTTCCATAGGAGTTTTTTTAAAGACTCAACGGCACGACCCAACAATCTTATGTTTTATCGTAGCGTGTAAACCGGACTTTACAAGTTAATACATTTTTGTAGAAAGAACCATGTTTTAATATGAGTGAGAGACCACAGACTGTGTTTAAGAGCCTTTAGAGTATTGCGGGTAACTTGGGTAATTTCAAACAGCTGCTTAAGAGTTAATTATACAAAGATATTTTTTCAAACACCAAAGTGATTGTAATTTAAATCTAGTGCACTGAGGGATTAGAAATTTTCTTTGTAGTTTTGAATGGTTTTCCAAGAGAGTCCATGGAAGCCAACGGCCATCTTGGATTTGAACGAACCAGATTTAAAATTCCCATGTTATTCTTATGGAGAATATTGTAAAATGTAGTTTGCTTGTTTATGGATATATTTTGATCAAACTTATTTATTTTATACCAAGACCTTATTATGTTAATAAAAAAACACTTTATTAGCCTCCCTGTAGCAGCAAACCTAGGTCACCTTTAAACCTAATGTTATATAAATATAGATTTAATTTAAAATCAATTCAGGCAAATGGAAATTCGCTTAGTCTGCAGGTTTGCTACGGCCAGGGTATGTTAATTGTTTTATTAGTATATCGTCTAGGCTGTAAGGACCCATAATACCCTGCTTGCCTAGAATTTTATCAAAAAGATCCCTTAGGCATATAAAATCCCAGAAAGTATAAAGTATAAGAACTTACCAAACATTAAGCATATGCTTCAATCCAGGATTTCCCAAAGATCTGTTGTCAAAGAATTCTGGAGTACTACTTCGCATTGTGTAGAAAGTCTCTATAGCCTTTTTGGCGTTTTCCAGTCTGTAGTAGCAACTGTGAATAAATAACTTTATCTGATCATCTGAAAAAGATAAATTTAGTTTTAACATTTCATTTTTTTAAATCAGCAAAATAAATATTAAATTAATTAGAACAAAATATAAAATTATTGTGAATAGCAATAATTAATACAGTATTATATGTTGACTATGTTAATATTATTGTTGAAAGATTTTCATATAGTAAAAACAGAAGGTGTTATACACTTAACTTAACATCCAAAATACAGGTTGCGCAATGATCAACATGGTGCCACTTTTGTGCTAAAACTAGTTTGAAAGTGATCTTTAGACTACCATGAGCAGATAATAATAGGTAGGGTAATGTTACAATTTAAAGATATAGGTTTAAAATCAAACTAAAAATCAAGAATAAATTTTTACCCAAAAACAACAAATGATTAAGATGTCTGCCATACTTTTGTGTTTTAAAATTTATATCATGAAGCTAATTTTATGAAATATTGGATAGGCCCTAAAAATTTATGAGAAGTTATTTGAAAAAAAAACTGTTAAATTTTTTTGTTTCAAAATGACAGCCATTTCAATTTCTATAGCTCATTTGTTTTGAATGGCTATATTTATGTAAAAAAAGTCAAGAACAATTCTATTTGCCATTTTAATTTCCTATCAAACAACACCAATTTTCAATTGTATACCTTTAAGATATACATTTAAATTATGCAAACAAATTGTGGATATCTCATTAATGAGTTGTTTTAAATAAATTAAGCTGCATTTGAATATATAAAATGAGTTTTTCATACATCTTTTGAAAATATCATCATAAAATTCCAAAATGAGAACCTTCATTAAACTTTAAGGCAAACCACAATGCTTAAATGAAGAGTTTTTGTAATGCACGGCGTTATGGTAAAAACATTTTTTAAATTTTATTATTTGCTGAACTACTATAGAATATGATTTAAATAAACTCTATCAGCAATATAAAGATAATTTCAAAATAATCTAATATATTTGTTGTTTTTGATGGAAATTAATGTAATGTTTGGTTCTGTTCCAAAGGCTAAGCAAAATTAAGGACTTTCATGTAGTATATTTTAGTGCACTGTTTCTCAAATATAGAAAATCTTTCCTCAGATAATTCTAACCCTACCTGAAATCCCTGTTGGAAGATGCGGTTGTTTTTGGATCCATTCTCTAATGTGAGAGACATCTTCTGGACGAAGCTTGGAGATCCACCCTTTGTCCATCTGAAAAATGAATAAAAAATATAAATATTTGTATAAAGTCTATTATAACCTAATTAGGTTTACAGTTTCATCGTTAGTAACGTTTAGTTTATGTTAACGAGATGTTCTATTATAAACTGCTTTAAATTTTAATATGCGATTAAATCACTGTGAAAAGTTAAACAAAACTTACAATATTTCTTTGAAACTTAAAACTCCCTACATTTAAGCTGGTTGTCAAACATCTAAAAAAATACAGTTATATACCGATATTAGTTATTTTTTGAAAGCTTAAATTGCTCAAATTTAATATGTTGACGTTAGATCATTTTACTGATTGTTGAAAACAATTACAATTATTTGTCACACACAATATTCAAGGATAGGTAAAGTAAAATTATTTGTAAAACCATACTTAGTGCGTTAAACTCCGGTAACAGTATTTATATACATATAAAGTACCTATGTTTATTTATTTAATACCTTGTCTACTGTCGTAGGATCAGCTGTTATGAACGCAGAGTGGTCAACACGTCGCGGCACGGCGGGAAACACTGGCGCTACTGGCGGTTCGCGGTCGTAACGTCAAATAAATTGCCCACTGCAAGAGGGGGAACTTGAATACACATTGCATGAAGAGTGAAAAATAGATTACTGTACTTAATTATCAACATAGCAACCACACACTAGAATTATGAGGTTTCAAAATTAATCTCCATTTCACACACAGTGGTAGCCAAAGATAATTAACGTGCAACGTCAATCCAGCTGTTACTGTTACCGCTGTTACACGAGTATGAAGACACAACTTTAAGAAACTCATCAAGAAAAATAATTCTTAACAATATGAAATAATATAACAGAACTTTTGGAACTAATTGGGATATTGGAAGATGCGTTGGGTAATGTTTTGGACCGGTTCTTATTTACGAATCTAGTCCTAATTTTATCAAAACTAGTTCCTAACCTAAAAATCTGAATGTACATCTTGATAGGAATTGACGCCAATAGTTAAAAGTTTTGCCTTTTCCGTGGTTTTATTTTGTTTAGGTTTTTGATCTCTTTTTGCCTACAATCTATTTTATATCTGAAGCAAAAAATGTTTAAAGACAGAAATAAAAAATGGTATGTTAAGTAAGAAACTACTAATTAGTTACCGACCAGAATTAGAATCCCTCAAGTTCAAAGTTCAACAGGTTTGTGAGTTTAACTATGACAAATGTCATTGATTGATTGATTGAGTGGGTCTAAAATAAATATACAAGATAAATAAATCAATGGTTATGTCAAATAAAAAGGAACACTGTAACTACAGCATTGAATTTGGAGATAAGCTCTTGGTCAAATACTATATATTTGCTGTTAGTTCCTACCTACCTAAGGTGAAGTGGAAAAAATATGCCCTGAAGGAGATTAAATTTTAATATATTTTGTAATGTATTGTTGCAATAGGTATTTTTGATATTGAATAAACCTTTTTAGTTCAAAATAATTTTAATAAAGTATGTTTCTCCCTGAATAATCATTTTATTCAATTTAATAGAGATGGGGACGCCAGACTATATACTAGGTGCGTATTTTAATCTAAATACCAGTGAAGAATGAGTGTAAAACCACATCGGTAGATCCAAAGGAGTAGACAAGAACGGAGTGAGATATGATCTATGTAGCTTTGTTACTGACTAAGATCAGCTGTTTCATCAGTCAGGATGATTGATTTAAAGCCCAATGCCCAATGATCAGAGTCGAGTCATTAAAAAGCTAGTTACTGACTATGGTATTGACTTTTATCAGGATCGATGGGGCAACCTTTTAGCGAATTTCCCTATAGGAAATTAGCTATTACCGCATGTGGCAAAAACTTGAATGAGTTCGCCAACCAGTAAGATCGGGTCATGGCATCGCAGGGTTATGGAGTTTTTAAATGTTCAAAAAATAATTATTTCACATTTTTACACTTAAAATATGAAAATTCCTAATTTTCATTACGCCAATGTGGAGCTTAAAAAACAAATAATTTTTAACATTGACGCATTATTGTAAATTGTCTAATAGTATTTAAATTGAGAATAAACATGTCTTTGGAAATATTTTAGTAAAAATCCACTTAGACAAATTGTAATTCGCTTAGTCTGCAGGTTTGCTGCGGTGTACCACTCAGCTTAGCCAGTCATTCCTTGATTCAGAGGGCTATTATTTGGCCTACCACTTACAAGTCAATGGTCTGACCTGACCCATGTCCTATACTCGACCTTGAAGCCTCCAGTCGTTCCAGTCAGTTCCTGGAACCCCATCCTGTAGGACCACTCAGAAGAGCACGTAGGCGCCTCTGAGCTGCAAACGTGACCCTGACAACGTGCGGGATAAACCCAGCACGTAGCACGACTCGGAATATAGTTATATCACTACTGTATGACGCTGCATGAGGTCATAGAAGAGCACTAGTAGGGTTCTTTTATCTGTGATGAGGTGGGGCAACAGGCTTATTTTGTCCGAATGTTGTACATATTACCTTTAGCGATCAAGACTATGGGTCTTTTGAAATATTTATAATTTCATTTTATTTTGGTTTGGATGAAAAAACTAATTCCCACAGTTGGAACACTACAGTGCGTCGTATATAGATAGTGCCTGCATTTAGTGAATACTTTTTAAATAGCGTATAGATCAAATATATTGGATTGATGGATATAACGTTTTTCTGGATGCATTTGATACATATGAGGCTGAGGTACACTTGACAATATTGTGCAGTACATTTACAACATTTAAGCGACCCTATGCTGGGTTGGCAGTGTGCAAAGATTAGTACAAAATATTATTCACTCTTGGTATTAAAAATAAACACAAAATGAAAAAAAAAACACTATATTAAATTAGCTTTATTTTAATGTTACTTATCCTCCACCAGCTTAACAATTAGGCAAAGTAAAATGGTAATATCTTACAAATTAGTCTTAAATCAAAAAATTTGAATTGCCAATTAAAATTGTTAATATTTAAAAAAATAATAATGCAGTTTTCACAGTGACTTTCAGACACAAAATAAAATTTACAGTTTACCCATACAAAAGACATATTTCCTTCAAAATTTACGTGCTAAAAGACATAACTCGAAAAAAAGTGAGTATATGACCCAACATTACATCCTGGTTTGAAGGATGTTACCTTCGATGAATCATCCTCAGCTATCATGCCATCTTGTTCTTGTTTGTGACTCTTGTTTGGTAATAAAAACCTCAGGTATGGGGTCTTGTACTAATTTATCTCCATAAAACTCACACGCTACCAGAATTTCTCAAGGACTTTGAACAAAGGTCATCGCTAACAAAATCACAGCATGGTCGAAAAAAGGTTTATCAGATTGCTTTTGTTTACAATACAATGAAGAGCTCGAAAATTTCTAGTTTAACAATATGACTTTATTAGCATAAGTTTGTTTTAATTAATACTTGCAACTTGCAACAACTTCGTTTCATAAGTTTTACAAGAGTTATAAGCTTCCTTATTCTATACCTGCAGCAACTTTGAAAATAAATATAAAAAAACAGCACCAAATTGGATTATTTGTGTTTTAGTTTTGTCTGTTTTCTTGAAATATGGCGCTGTAAGGGACAGTAGAAGTTATATAAACAGTTTCTCCTAACTTTTTCGGTAATTTATTCCATGTTTTGCTTATTCTTAACGTGCTTTTAGGTACTGTTTACGATTTAATGAAACCCCGTAAATCTAGTATTTGCTCTTTACATACAAAGATTCAAATAAAAATCATCTCGTCTTCCGTCTGTGTGGAAACAGTCTATGGGAGCAACGAGAATTGTAAGTCAAATGTGAAAACTGGAAGAATATGAATACGCAATGCGTAATTGCAGACGCAGTACCAGGAACTAGGGTTACTAAAAGTAGTTTCTGCCGCGCCGCTTTCTAAACTATGCGCATGTGGTTGCAATAAAAACAGTGAGGTTAGATTTCAACAGAAAATTGCAGGGTTTTAGTTGAGGTACGTGACGATTAGAATGTGATATTCATTTTTGAGTTTAATGAAATGTGCAGAGAAATAGTCTCACCAACTTAAAACATAACCCAATATCACGATCCATACATTTCTTCATCGTAATATTTTTTTGCTGAAACAAATTAATTTGATTCAGTTACGTATCATCATCAGATTCGTCAGAGGCATAAAAAAGGTCGTGAGAAGTTTAATCCTATTCCAAAAACGAGTGGTTTGACGTTCAATCTTATTTTAAAGCACATACGTTTCCTGTCAACAACATGCTGACCATTTTCTTTCCATTTTGAAATTGGAATATTAAATACTCATTCTAAGTTAAACCACAAACGTGAATTACGAGTAGGTACGTACTCTGGGGCGGGCATTAATTGCGCCAACTACTCAGGGAGCCACCCGATACGTTTATTAACTACACCAAGTGGCGGCCGTTTTGACTGTATAATTTAGAAGATTAGGTTAAGTTAGTTTATGTTAGGTTAGGATGACGCATAAACAAGGCCATTCCTTCTGCCGGAAACTCATCCTTACGTGGCCTGGGCTGGGCGCATCTAAGGAGCATTTTTGGTGGCCCTTTGAGGGCTTGGCGCAATTAAGGAACTCTTTGGAGCAATTAATGCACGACCGCACTCAGATCCTAGAACCATATTCCATGAAAACCACCCTTGTCAATGTCCTTCCACTGGGTTATTACCTGAAATCCTTCTGAATATAGCATAATTGATAATAAAGAAGATAGAAATCCGAAGATTTTCTCTTGGCATAAAATAAGATGTTACCTGGTTGACAATAAATTTATCAGAATTTTCTTGGTATTCTTAATTTGAAGATCTAGATTTTAGAATTACGAACATCTTTACCTGTTTATTCATTTCATTCAGTTATTGCTTCTTTATGCAATACCCTGATAAGTCAAGTTTGCTAATACGTGTAGCTTAATGCAACAATAATTCTTCCGTCACCAGTGTTCACCAACTGGCAACTGGTGTCAACTCTGGTGTTCACAGTT